TCTTTTTAATTTTTTTATGTTCTCTGTTAATTGTACAATATACATAATTTCAGTTAATTTATATTTGTAAAATATTATTACTTTATTTATTTGTCCTATAATTGGTTATTCCGTTGGACGATAAAGACTATTATTATTATTATTATTATTATATATGATTTATTCGGCAAACTTTTGAGCTAACGTCATCAGTTTTTTGGAGAAGATAACCACATATATTTTGACTAAAAATTTATTATGCTCTTTATAACCTTAAAACATTTGCAAGATTTCAAAACATTCGGTTCTGTAGTTCCTGATTAAATCAATAAAATATATTTACGCATTCATTAATTTTTTTGGGTCACCCTGTATATGCAAATCCAAAAAATATGAACGGAGTGATAAATCACAAGGAGAGACTCATCATATTTTGTACATTTTAGATAGGATTTATTCAGCGAAATTTTGTGGTGATGTCATAAATTTTTTAGGGGAAATGAGCAAATACATTTTGATCAAAAACTTACCAGGCTTATGACAACTTTAAAGAATCATCAAGATTTCAAAGCATTCGGTTTAGTAGTTCCTGAGTAAATCAATAAAATAAATTTACGCATTCATTAATTTTTTTGAGTCATCCTGTATATACAAATCCCAAAAATATAAATGAAGTGATAAATAACAAGTACAGACTCATCATATTTTGTACAGTTTAGATAGGACTTATTAGGCAAATTTTCGAGCTGACGTCATCAATTTTTTTGAGGGGATAAGCAAATATATTTTGACTAAACATTTATTATGCTCTTTACAACCTTAAAACATCTGCAAGATTTCAAAGCATTCGGTTTTGTTGTTCCTGATTAACGCAATAAAATAAATTTACGCATTCATTAATTTTTTTGAGTCACCCTGTATATGGAAAATGAAAAAATTTGAATGGAATGATAAATCACAAGAAGAAACTCACCATATTTTGTACATTTTAGGTAGAATTTATTCAACAAAATTTTGTCGTGACGTCATAAATTTTTTTAGGGGGGACGACCAAATACATTTTGATAAAACATTTACCATGCTTATGATAATTTTAAAACATCTTTAAGATTTCAAAGCATTCGGTTTTGTAATTCTGAGTAAATCAGTAAAATACATTTACTCATTAATTAGTTTTTTTGAGTCACCCTGTATATGCAAATCCAAAAATTATTAATGGGGTGATATATCACAAGTACATACTCATCATATTTTGCACATTCTAGATAGGATTTATTCGGCAAACTTTTGAACTGACGTCATCAAGTTTTTGGAGGGGATAACCAAATATATTTTGACTAAAGATTTATGATGCTCTTTATAGCCTTAAAACATCTGCAACATTTCAAAACATTCCGGTTAGCAGATTCAAAATTAAATTTCAAAATGTTGTTTTATATTTTGGACGTTTCGGGTAGAAACTCAATTCGGAGTCGTAAAACACTATGTTATTTTATACAATTTAAAACCGATTTACTATGTACAATTTTGAAGTGACGTCATCGCATTAGTGGTGGGGATGATTAGACAAATTTTGGTTAGCGTTTTACCATCTACATGATATTCCTAATATAAGTACAAAATTTCACAACAATCGGTCGAGTACTTTCGGAGATTATCTGTCTAATAAAAATCCGGGATGGCAGACAGACGGACAGACGGACAGACAGACGGAAATGGGAGACCTATTTCTTCGTCTTCTAGGGATCATGAAAGATCAAGAAAAGGTAAAAGTAGAGAGTCGGCCGACGGACTCGATTACAATACTTCCTTTGCTTACGCTCGGGAAATAAAAATATGAATGCAATGATAAATTACGAATATATACTGAAGATTTTTTGCACATTTTAGATAGGATTTATTCGGCAAAATTTTGAGATGACGTCATCAAGTTTTTGGGTTTGATAAACAGATATATTTTGATTAAAAAGCTACCATGCTTACAGTAACTTCAAAACGCCTGCAATATTTCAAAATTTTCAGTTTTGCAATTCTTGATTCAGTCAATAAAATAAATTGACCCAGTGATTAATTGTTTTGGGACACCCCGTTTAAGCAAAACTAAAAAAATATTAATGCAGTGATAAATCACAAGTAAAAACTCATCATATTTTGCACATTTCAGATAGGATTTATTCAGCAAAATTTTCAGGTGACGTCATCAATTTTTTAGGGGTAATGAACAAATACATTTTAATCAAAAAATTACCATGCTTATGGTAACATTAAAGCATCTCCAAGATTTCAGAACATTCGGTTTTGCAGTTCCTGATTAAATCAGTAAAATTAATTCACCCATTCATTAATTTTTTTGAGTCACCCTATATAAGCAAATCTAAAAAATATGAATGGAATAATAAATCACAAGTATAGACTCATCCTATTTTGGATATTTTAGATAGGATTCATTTGGCAAATTTTGGGCTGATGTCATCAATTTTTTGGAGAGGATAAGTAAATATATTTTGAATAAAAATTTATTATGCTTATCATATGTTTAAAACATCTGCAAATTTTCAAAGCATTCGTTTTTGCAGATTCAAAATTGAATTGTACGTGAAACGAAGTTCACCGGGTCAGCTAGTTATGTCATAAATAAAATAATCACGCACACACCATCTCAAAGGATTTTAATTAAAATGATTTCAATGTTATACAGTATGTAATGTATCCCTATACTTGTGGTGTACGAATCTGCTTTGAGTTCTTTTGTCTAAACGACCAATTTCTAGCAAAAAAAAATGACACAGTGTAATAACATTGTGTTATGGAAAAACTCGCTTGAAATATATCCATGGCATGCTCTTTTTTTTCGGCCCGTTTTGCTCAATTGTAGCTTGATTAATGAAATTTGTCCTCTCCTCTCTTTTGAGGAGACGAAAACAATCAAATTTCTTCTTTTTAACGCAGATGTTTGTCATCGAAATACCCTAATTGCGAATTCTTTGGAAGTATCCAAAGCCTAAATTATGTATGTAATGAGCGAATGAGATACTGAAAAAACATGCTTTCCTGTTGGTCATTTGTTTGAAATCTATTACGAATGAATGAGTCAATTATTTATTTCATTGATTATATTAGAAAAGGCTTAATCCATTCTCCTGAAAATTTGGGAATATAATATTGTTATTATAAGTACTACACTGCACTTAACCAAAGTGATATACGTGTCCTTGAAAAGAATTTGATGACGTCATCACAAAATTTTGTAAACGAAAACCTCATCTGAAACATACGTGTAACACACTTTTTCAGATTTACTTTTACATTGGATTTATATCTTTACATGAACTTACACGGGTTTTCATAAAAAAATTAAATGCACAATTTTAAGCTGGATATGTATTATTGCACTTCAGGGGCGAGGGAAGTTCTGTTGAAATAACCTTCGACCAATTTTTCAATAATGTCTTTCTACCAAAATATGCCATTTCAGTGTATTAAAATTATATTTACAAAAAAGAAAGTCAATTTGTTGTAATTAGCAGTTATTTTTTAAACGTATTTGGAAACTTATTTCATATTTCATAAACAATTGATGCGTTTATTAGACTGTACAGTGTATTTTTGAGTACTTTATGTACATAATCTATCTTTTTGAAGCTTTTTCTTTTCTCCCAAGCTAAATATTTACAATGTTGCTGCTTTTATTTTCTAGATAAATTACAAACAATGTCGATGGACCTTTAAAGTTTGAATAAAGTTTGCATTGAAGGGTCACTTGCTTTGTGTTTTGGTTTGAGGTACATAAAAACTTAAGAGCAAAAAACTTTCTGAAACAATCAAACTTCAAATAACGCACTTCACATCGTCTCGGATTGTGGCATGTGGTTCCAGTGTGCTAAACATGGCCTGCCTAATTTAAATTTCTCTTTGCCTTAATTTTGTTAAACCAAGAAGATTCATACTTTTCGTTTATCCTTTACACGATTGGAGATGCAGATATTTCTAAACCACATATATAGATGATAATTATATGTAAGGATATTTAAAATTTTTTGTTGCATAGATATCTTTAGATTTTTTAGTGAAAACAATAGCTATTAACATGACAAATATGTTATGGGATTCTTAACAGACCGAGTACGTACATCTGTACATTAACAAAAACTGTACGGTTAAGGGTTACCTACAAGAATCCTCTCAGTACAGTGAACACGTCATAACAACCAAGTTTCCGATTAACATATTATTAATTTTGATACCTAGAAAGTAACTATAACAGAGTAATAATAAGAACAACATATTCTGTTTAACGATCTAGAAAATAAAGCCATCTAACGAAACTACAAATAACCCTGCAGTAGGTATCCAGTTTTTTTTATAAATACTTATTTTATATTTTTTGATATAATCTCAACTTTCGCGGGAGAATGGATAAAAAATAAATTTTAGTCAATGTTCCGTAGTTATTACATGAAGGGCAGTTTTTTAAAATTTCGCAGTTTCCTTTTGAGGGTTTTAAAACCAAATGTAAATTTTCACTTTACAAGTCTTATTTTTTACGATAACCAGTACGCGTGAAGTTAAAATAAATGTGTATGGGAGTACATTGGTTTACTGCAACATTTATTTGAAAAAAATATAATTGAATTAAATCATCAGTTTTTTTAGAGGGGAAGTGCGTAGTCTGAATCCAATAAAAATATATTCCATTTAAACAAATATCTATAAAAATTAATGAATTTCCGACGAAACTGTTTACTAAAAAAAACGTAAAAAACATTAAAATATGGTTCACATATGGAGTTTTATTTTCTTAAAATGACAAAGAGAAAAAATACGACTCTCAACCAATACCTACAGAAAAATAAATTGTTTTTTTTTTATTTTTTTTTATTTATAGATTTGGTCGCGAAATTTTTTAAAACACTACCCTTCATGTAATAACTACGGAACATTGACTAAAATTCATTTGTTTTTCATTTTATTAATAACAACGTTTTTCTCATTTCACACACAAATGATGATATTGTCCCTACCTTATTCGAACTGCTTGGACTGCTCTATCCCTGAAACAAAATAACAAACAAGTAATAACCAAAGCAAATATTGATTAAATTTTAGACCATATATTTTCACATTCCTAGTCGAACCTCAGAATTATTGATGATGATTTACACCTTCTATTAAATATCGACCAAAAAATTAGAATTTATGTGATTAGATGATGAAGCGTGTAAGTGCAACAAATTTTCACGAAAAAATGGAGCCATTTCTCCAATTTTCCAGTCAATTTGTCAAATTATATTCGTTTAAAAGCACGATAATTCAAATAAAAAGGAATGAATAACACAAAAACTCATTTTTCTATGATTTATTATAAAGTACATGTAGATTCCACATGCTATTTTAAAATGAAGATTTATGAGGCAGACAACTATGGGGTGGCTGCATACAAACACATAAACAGGTACTGCTGTCGTGACTAACAGTGTTTTATTAGCTTGTGGTAAGACTTCTTCAATATTATTTTATATAAAAAAAAACAGTACAATATACATGCTCAAAATACGACAAACACAAATCTTGTTGCATATTAATTAATGTGCCCTTATCTATTCTCTTGACACCTGCAAATATGTTTCAAATTTACTTGATTTAAGCAAATAATTTAATAATTATCGTAAAGATTTTAAGCACTGTTACTAATAAATGTGACATTTGTCTAAAAGAATAGGTTGTAAAGAACGTTTTGTGATGTCTCTGTATTGTATGATAACAACCATTTACAGTAAAAACAATACCTACAACCGCTACAATAAAATCTTGTTATAATTAACACAAAAGAAAGGCAATTAGCATGTAAAAAAAACCTTCCAAAAAGTTCATTGCCGCTTAAACTTAAATTATATGGTCGTTCTATGTGATACTGCCATCTGACGGGTGCTGAGTTGATGCGGGATCCATGATAACTCACTCGGAACAGGTGTGTCTGCACCGTTTACTGTTTATACGAGCGTAAAATAATTTAAAGACAAATGTTAGTTTCTTTTTGTATACTTTCTGAACGGCAAAATATTTCATATTTGTAAATCGTACTTCTTATGCATTCAAAAAAAACGTGCAATCAAATCGTGGACGGCTAAAATTTATGTACATAAGTTTAATTCGAAATCTAACGAAATTTTAAGGTCGCATAAATCTAAAGCTTACACTGAAGGTTTATGTCACGACGTCAATAAACTACACCATTATTTGGTTGTAAATTAGATAATCCCTGAAACATTGAAAAGTCGTTTCATCAGGATCCAACTTTTTAAGAGTTAACTTGGAATTTGAAACAGCGAAAGTGAATTTAAATTGTGTATAGCTTATCTTTCATTTCAGATGTTTATCTTTTCGAAGTTGTTTTCCTTATGCAATATCACTTTTTATCTCTACAATCTAAGTAAACAACTAATTCAAAGACATTGATTATTCCACCCAAAATTAAATCAGAAGGGAATGGTTAACAACTGTAGCGGTTGTTTAAACGATTAGGGGAACCGGAGGAAACGCAATGTGCCTATATATAATGCATGAAGAATTGCTTCAAAAGTTGTTTTAAACTTGCATATTTTAGGAGGAATTGCTGAATATTAGGAACTGTGTTTTTCGAGAAATTCAAAATCAATAGTTTGCTCTACTCTGTGAAAAGTTTATTAAACTAAAACGCTTTTCACACTAAGGTGATTAATTTTTTTTTCTTTCAGTTGTCATATTTAAGGTCAAGTCGGGGTAAAGTGAACGAGATGTGTAAAAACTTGTGTAATAAAAAACTAAAACATGAGAGTTTTGATGAATAGAATGCAATGCGTTTTCTTATATTATCTTGTGCAGTACGCTCTAGTGATGGTGTAAAACTTTAGACACAATTAATATACTTCAATGGAAAAATAAATAAAAACCACTTGTTATGTATATTCACTTTGTATAGATCTATTATTTCAATGTAATTCCGTCCTGACTTTTGAAAATAAAGAAATTACTTAGGGTCATAGTTTTGTATACAGAATAAAAACTGCCCATTCTGGCAACTGACACCGCCTGGAATAAATAACGCCAAATTCACAAGATTTTCGCGCCTCAGATGATGGAATTTTCTTCTGTGATTTAGATTTATTCATCAGACCAATTTATTTTAAACTATGTATATTTAAATTTCAGCACTATTGAAACAGCGCAAATATTAAAAAAATATACAACGTTTTACTATTCAGTTAACGATTTGGACGGGTGGAAACGCTCTGGCAATTTTATTTTATTATTTGCTTCTTCGCAACAAATAATCATATTCAAATAACGGAACTATTAGTTTATATGAGCTGTAACCTTTTTTACCCGCGTTTGGAATTAGAAGATATACAATAAATCCAATCTAAAATGTCCAAAATATGTCTATACTTGTAATTTATAGTTGCATTAATATTTTTATATTTGGGGTATTTTAAAAAAATTAATGACTGAGTCAATTTATTTTATTGATTAAATCAAGAATTGCAAAACTGAATACTTTGAAATCTTGTAGACGTTTTGAAGTCATTGTAAGCTTGGTAAATTGTTAATCAAAATATATCTGTTTATTCCCACAAGAAAATTTTGTCGTATAAATCTTATCTAAAATGTGCAAAATATGATCAGCCCATACTTGTAATTTATCATTGCATTCATATTTTTTAGATTTGCTTATACAGGGTGACTCAAAAAAATTAATTTGTCAATTTATTTTATTGATTAACTCAGGAACGGCTCACTCCATTTTTCCAAAAAATTTTGGGAATACAATATTGTCATTTTTAGTATTATACTGCAATAATCCAAGTTGATCCACGTGTCCTTGAAAAATGTTTTTGACGTTATCACAAATTTTTAATTAGTCAAATTAAGAACGAGTCGCCCCATTTTCTCGAAAAAGTGAGAATACGCACGTCTTTATGTAATAATGATAAAATACGAATTATAATAATGGTTAATTTCAAATTTTACTCATCTGTTTTAAAAAGACAAACTCATTCAAATCAAACCAATTTCCACGTTACATCCTTTCGATGTATAAACATAAATAAACATGTGAGATTCAGCTATTATCTAGTGCTAAAGGACTTTTTATCCCCTTAGTTAAGTGTTCCAAATATATTTTACTTTGTCCGCACGGTGCAAGCGTTGCGGGGGAGTTGTTTAGGCCGCTGGTTTTACTTTATAGAGAGAGCTGGATTTGTCTGATTATACATCAAGGGCGAGGGAAGTTCTGTCGAAATAGGTTTCGATCAATTTTGTTAGTTTTGTTGTAGGCAAAAATGCATATGAATTATTCGTTCTTTTTAGTCGTACGCTGTTCTCACTATACAGGTTGTGTCGTAAGGAAATATTTGCGACAAAATCCGGTTGATATATTGAGACAAATTATATTTTTATATGTAGACATACATAAAACTGGAGTGTAAAGCAGTGTTCTTAATGCAAATAGTAAAACCTGACGAAAAACGTGTTAACGTGCATCTGAAATAGACGTGGAGGATTAGATTTCTAAAACGAATAGATGCTTATGTCGTGTCTCAAATATTTATAGCACATCAGGTCTATTTGATTAAAATGCGTCACGTAACATCACCTTTTTTTTTTATTTGTGTTATTTTTCTGTTTGCTGACAAAAGAACATGAATAACTGAAACATTTCTAAATTTATTTTTTAAATTATGGGTGACAGTTCGAAAATAGAAAAGCAAAACAATTAGCGAAGTAATTTTAAAAGTATCACATCACTGATAGTAATACTAATAACTGATAATCCAGTATGATATTAGATTTATAATGTAAGGTACGTGTCCACTGGAGAGTGACTTGGCGAGAATTCGCGAGAGTTACTTTCAAGGGCTTGTCGATTTGAGAGAATATTTTGGCAAATTTTGCTCGCCGATAGATGTCGATCAGACAAAGCTCTCAAAACCCTGTCCACTACACAGTTGCACTTGCGAGGAAAATGGACCCTCTTTACTCGAACCGACAAAGAATTTACGATTTTACGAGCCTTTTGTTAATTTATTTTTCACGAAATACGGTAAAATATTGCAGCTGTGAAAACAGGTAGTAAGAGGACATAAATTATTATCTGGACCTAAAATTGTGCTAAGAAATACGCAAATGCACGATGCTATTTCTATTCATGAAAGAGTAATAGTAACATTACGATTTTTTTGTATCAGGTACATATGTAAAAGTATTATGTAGGTACATCACTGAACAAAATAAGGTGTTCTCCATAGGTTATGTCACGTACATTTTGGGGTTTTTGGACCTTTCTTTTCTGTGTCACAGGTTGTCACATTCATATGATCCCACCCTCTATTATAATGTCATATAATTTTAATGTAGAGTTGATTTTGATTAAATCAACATTGCAATTATTACTCTTATTTAATATTATGTAAAATCTTCTTTCCACATATCTCTTAAAAATGTAAAAAATTGGTCGAAAGTTGTTTCGACAGAACTTCCCTCGCACCGAAAGAACTATGAAACATATCTAACATTTTCGAGTTGAGTTTTTCCTTTACACAATTTTGTGATGACGTCATCAACATTTTTGCAAGGTCACGTATATCAACTTGGATTGGTGCAGTATAATACTAAAAATAACAGTAGATGAATATGAATGCAGTGATAAATCACAATTAAAAACTCAACATATTTTGCACACTTTGGATAGAATTTATTCTGAAAAATTTTGAGATGACGTCATCAAGTTTTTGTTGGGAATACACATATATGTTTTGATTAACAATTTACCACGCTTACAATAACCTTAAAACGTCTGGAAGATTTCAAAGTACCTATTCAGTTTTGCAATTCTTGTGTTATTCAGGAAACTAAAATCACGCATTCATTTTTTTTTGAGTCGCCCTGTATAAGCAAATCTAAAAAATATGAACACAATAATAAATTACAAGTATTATACTGATCATATATATTTTGCACATTTCGGGTGGAAATTATTCGGCAAAATTTTGAACTGACGTTATCAATTTTTTGG